GGAGCCAGAAAGCCATGCGGGACACCTTTTACCTCAGCAACGTCGCCCCTCAGGTAGAACCTGCCGCGGGCACCCACGGGGAGACTCGCCCCGCGCGGGGCGGGGGAGGCCGGAGCTGTCTCTGTTCAAGGGCAGACGCTGTTCCCCGCTGGAAACGACCTCGGAGCGTCTCTGGCTCTTCCGTGTGTTTGTCCCTGTTCAGGCAGAGAGGGTCCAAAGTGGCCAAAGTCCCTCGAGGGCGCTGTGTTTCCAAAAACTGCTGAACTGAACAGCCCCGGTCCTGCCCACACGCCTGCCTGCACGCTCTTCTCGGGCGTGAGAGACGGCCGTTCGGCGCAGCTCATTGCGGGAGCGAAGTAAAACAGGCGGGCAGATGCTTGCCAAAACGATGGCCTGAGGCGAGCGGGTTCTGCTCCTGGGTGTGCAAACCAGGACCTTGCCATACGCAGTGTCCGGAGCGGGGATGATAGTGGCAGTCTCTTCTGGAAAGTGCTGGTGCTGTTGTGAGATGTGTTAGAGAAAAGGTGTCGTTACTCTGAAGAGTGAGGAAATTCCCCACTGACTGACTTTGCTGCCTGTGTTGCCCTGGTTGTGTTTTTAGGTTCCTCATTTAAACCAGAATGCCTGGAATAACCTTGAGAAGTACAGCAGAAGCTTGGCAAGGAACAACAAGAACGTCTACGTCTGCACAGGACCCCTTTACCTGCCCAGGTAAACACGAGGGCCAAGCTGAGACCGCGCTCAAAAGGCGCATCGTGCTGGGAAAGGAAAGCAGGCTGAGGGGCTGCAGCCTCCCAGCTGCCCCCAAACAGGAATGATCTGCTAAGGCCCTGCTCAGGAGGTGAGACCAGCTGTGCGCAGAGGTTCTGTGGAAAGGTACTTTCTTAAGGGTTAGTTTGGGTATTTCCCATTCAGTTGATTATTTTGTGAATAAGGGTGGGTTTCTTGAGCAGTAATATAACCAAATCGCTTTTGTTTGCAGTCCTTGACAATCTAGTTATAGTAGATTACTAGATTATTTAGATTAACAGATTAGGTTGCAGACCCTTTCCCTGCAGAATAAAGTTTCTCAGTTTTATTTCATGGGCTGTTTCTCCATTTAAGAGCACGACTTTATTTGCAAAGATCTTCATGTAGCACTGAAGAGCAGCTGTCTCGTGTTGAGATCTCTTCAGCAGCAGGAAATAGCTTGGAAAGGCTGTTAAAGAAACACAGCAGGGAAGGGATGTGGGGGGAGCAGACCCAATACACGGCTTAGCCTCACCATGTCACGTAGCCTCTGTTTCAGCAGTGTTTTTTTGCACCTCTACTGCAGAAGTAGGGCTGCTCCCTGCCACGCTGTGGGGTGGGGGCTCACTTAGGGGTGGTGGTGGAGGGCTGAGGGGGCAGATGTGGCACCAGACTAGGGGATAACATGGGGTGTTGCTGTTGGTGCAGGATGGAGTCCGATGGGAAGATGTACGTCAAGTACCAGGTGATTGGGAAGAACAATGTGGCTGTCCCCACCCATTTCTTCAAGGTGCTCATCTTGGAAAAGGAGAGTGGGGAGATTGAGTTGCGCTCGTATGTGATGCCCAACAGCCCCGTGGATGAGAAAATCCCCCTTGAACGGTTCCTGGTGCCCATCGAGAGCATTGAGCGAGCCTCGGGGCTCCTCTTTGTCCCAAACATCTTGAAGAGAACAAGTACTTTGAAAGCCATCACAGCTGGAAACAAGCTTTGAACCCTTGACTAAAGAAATCCAGGTATCCCCTGGGAAAGCACTGACAGCAGTTATCCTCAGAATAATAGTTCCTTGTGCAGTTTTAACTCTGGGAAGTAAGAATCCAACCACTGCTTCTCTTTACCCTTCCCCTCCTTTGGCGTTAACAGTGAAACAGGCATGTGCAGCCCATCCAAAGGGCAGGTCCTGCAGAAGGCTCCCACGCACTTGACATTGTAGCAGATCTCTAGAATTTGCCCTTCATCTGCTATACAGAGAGGTACTCCTGTAATTGCTCCCCTTGAGCTGTGTGTGGCTTATTAAAACGCAAAAGGAAGTTACTTAATTTCGGCTATTTAGCAGCAAAGGATGGGAGCAAGATGGGTGTAGGGGGGAGAGGTTCCTGCCTTTCTGTGGCCAAAGGATTGTACAATTGTTTTCTTTCAGAAGATGGTTTTAGCAGTAAAGCTTTGAACACCTACAGTATTGGTTGCTTCTTATCTGCTCTTAGCAAAGCTCTGAATATCTCAGCAGGAGGGGGGAGGATAGTGCCAGCTTTCCCAGCTGCTTTCCTGTTTGAGCTCACTGTACGCAGAGCTTATGGCATCACAGATGGAGCCAAACTGTAACAAGCTATGCTGATGTGCCTTAGCAGAGGCCCAGGCAAAGCTCTAGCCTTTCCTGCTGTTGGGAAGGATGAAGCCTTGGAGTTGAAGGAGGGGCTGGGGAAATCAGGCTAACTGAGGCAGGAACAAATTCTTGGCATAAGGATTATGTTTTGACTTCCTTTAAGGCCGCATGTCTCCAGAGGCACCAAGTGAGCATGCAGGATCTCTGGACATTTGAGTGCCTCTCCTCTACACCAAAACATTTGCACACAGACTTCAAGGCAGCTGAGGATCCATACTGCTTTATTCCCCAAACATCTGAATTTGAGACCCGGTCTGCTGCCAGGCTTGTCCCAGCTGCTGAGAGGCAGCAACCAGCCCTTGGCTGGACCATGCAGGCAGGAGGGTGCAGACTTGCTGGTTCCAACAGCAGCCAGGCACTTGGTCAAGCAGCACTGCCAGCTTTAGTCACGCTGTGTCTTGGCCCTGCCAGGCTCTCGGAGTGATTTGCCCAGCACCCCACATTTGAACAGCTGCTTCCCCAAGGCAGTCCTCTGCTGCTGGCAAGGTCAGGGGTTTTCCTTCCTTCAGCTGTTGCTGGGTGTCTTCACAGCCTCGTCGATGTGGGGTCTCAGTGCAGACAGGGAGATCAGCAGTGCCTCCTGGAACAGACCCGGTGGCAGTCAGAACCACTGCTCTCTGAGGAGCACCAGCCAAGCCAGGCATTTTGCTGAGGTGTCACCATGGGGAATGACATGTGGGCCGTGTGTCACTGCCAGAGGCAGAAGCGCAGCACTGCTCTGTGTGCACAGGCATCACGCCCCACCGCACCATTAGCCACCTGACCTACCTCTGTCCGGATGGTTCTGCTGCCTTGGCTGGGACAAGTGTTCAGGTAGAAGTCAAACAAGACACTTGGGTCAGTGACCTCCAAGTTTGGGTCCACATCAACCCCAGCTTCCAAGCCCTCAAGACCTCCAAACACGACGAGGGCATGCCTAGAGGAGAGCACAGGGACTGGGTGAGAGGGGGGACTGGCTCTGACCCCTGTACCAAGGTAGATGCTACAAGCTTCACAGAGGAGAGCTGCTCATGTGCCTTGAGCCTTCAAGTGGATTAGGTATTGGCTTCACATAAGCAGTTCTCTTGAGTCTGCTTCTTGCAGATAAAGTTACTTCTTTTGTTCAGGTATCTGGGTCTGTGTTCAAGCTCCTCTGTGCCACTGAAGCAGGGAACTCTGTCCCTTGCTGACAATGCCCAATGCAGCTGCCTCCCTAGCAAAGCCCCACAGCACTTGGCCAATGCAACAGTCTCTGCTACCAACTCCAGAGAAACAGGACAGGATTTAGCCTTGTCCTGAGCTACTTCCCCCAGCTTGTGTCATGCAGAGGAACGTGCATTGGTGCAAAAGGGAGCAGCAGAGCACAGAAGGGAGCCTGCAGGCAAGTTTTGCACTTGTATCTAGGAGTGTTCCTGCCTGGGAGAACACCAAGGCCACAGTGCAGCCCTGCTGCCCGCACAAGGCCTCCCTGAGGGCTCTGAGTGAGGCCAAGCAGGCAGGACACAAACCTGAAGGAGGGGAGAGTGGCCTGGTCCACAGAGCTGCCTCGCTCTGAGGTTCCAATGGAGAGATCATAGCCTTCCTTGAATGGGCACTCTGAAAACACAGCACCTGGGAAACAAACACAATAGGAGGTTATTCATGAGGTGCCCTTGCCCATGCTGCATGCCTTCTGGACAGGCTGAAACACTCCACAGGTGAGTGGTAGCAGCAGAAGGAATCGCTTTTCAGTGCCACTAGTGCATCAGGAGTCAGAAGAATGATTCCTCTTTCCTACCTAACTTCCTTGCTGCAGGAGTCTCTGGCACCCTTCTCAACCGCAGCACCTTTTCCTTAAAGCTCAAACAGGTGCCAGGAGCCATTCCTTTACCAATGGCTTACGATTTTCCTAGAAGGCCAAATCAATCAGAAGACAGGAGAAGGATTTTGCAGGGCTTGAGCTCAAATGTCACTGAGCAGGAAATAGTAATAGTTATGGAAATGGAGATGTACTGGCTGGAGATGGAGAGCACCAGCATCCTACTACGACGTGGATATTTGGCACTACGGTGAATGGAAGTACAGGGCAGAGTACTGGTGGGTGACTGGGGTGACTCGCAGCCCTAGCTTTAGCCCTTAAGTTTGATTGCCACATGGCTGCTAGCTGCACGTGTAAGCTGCCTCTGAGACAAAAGAGATTTCTAAGAAAGAGATGTTAATGTGCGCTGCAGATGTGCAGGCAGTAGGCCTGAAATTGATGTGGAAGCCCAGGTAGAGACATGGCAGAGAGCGAAAAACCCCTGCAAATACTTACTCAGGCAGGAGGCAAGGCGGACGCTGTAACCCCAGTACAAGCCTGAGACTGTCCGAGGATGGTGTGAGGACACCACGGTGCCTTTCCGCACTTTAGCTTCTGAAAGGGAAGCAAAGAGACTAACAACCCCTGTGATCTTGTACTGAGTGCTGGATTTGACCAGCCACATACAGCAGCTTCTTCTGGCATTTCCACTGACTTGGTGTACAACCAAGAACTGCCCTTTCGAGTATGGTCTGGATAGTGTGCAAGTATGTTTGGGCTGTTTTTTGTTGGTCAAAGAGCTGATAGTTCTCTCCAGATAACTAGGGATGTATGGCAAGAGTGTTATTAAAATTGTGTGCAGAGTGAAGGGAATGTGAGAGCTGTTGGGTACCTTCAAATATTAGCAATCTGGAGGCTGTCATATGGAAGGATGAACTCCTGCAGGACTGATGTTTACAGATGCTAAGGGAGGGCTTACCTGGCTTCTGGGGTTCCTCCAGGTGCACAGTGACTCGCAGACCAGGGTTCAGCTGTCTGTCAATCTGCACCTCCTGCAGTGATAGTCACCATCAGCATCAGACATTTGTGAAGTACTGGGGAAGAATGGGAACCCCCTGAGGAAGTGGGGGTCTGTTCTGGCCTGAAGCTAGAGTGAGGGTCAGCAGTCTGAGACTTATTTTGCTGCTCAAAGGTTCAACTCCAGCAGTGAAGCAATGATGTGCTGGAATGGGCAGGCCTGCCAGGACTCATGAAGCTACAACCGTTAACAAGCCAGAAGGGACAAGATAGCAATAGCATTAAACCCCCTGCCAGCCCGCTACAGCCTTCACAAATGCAGCAGTACCCACCCTGCCTGCTTCAAATCTGCCAGAGAGACAGGGGAAATTGTTTTGGGACCTGTAGGTAACAGACATACCTTCCTCAATCCACAGTTAACAAAAGAGCCTCTGCCTGGTTTAATTGGCCGGTCCAACACTACACCTTCCCGGTACTCTGAATCCTCATCCACACGCATGTGGTGCGGACTGTCCAGGGGGTTGAGGAGCCCTAGAATAGATGAAAGCAACTGCTAAGGAGAGGACACAAACTGTGGGAACGCCGGTACAACTGCTGTGCTGCCCCCTCCCTCTCTGATCCAGCATACCACAGCACAGCACCTCACCTACACTCTGAACTGGGGAAGAGTTTATTCAATTCTTGCAAATTCAATCCATGCAAAACAAGAGCCAGAGCTCAGGAAGGGGGAGCCAACAGCCTAGGACAGAGACAACTGAATCATTACCTGCAAACTGCAGATCCTCATGTTTTGGAAAAAAGGATTTCCTCAAGTACCTGTTATCAGATGAGGTTGAAATGTAAAAACAATTGTTTCTATGGAATCCAAGCCTTAATTCTAGCCCTCTATTGACTCAAATGAGCTCTTCTAAGTCCCTGATCTACCTCTAACGTAGTATGTAGGTTGTATCCTACATTCAGTGCTGTTCTTTCAGTTAAACTCCTGAACCAGACATGAAACAACCAGATCCTGCATAACTGTGCAACATAAACAGAGTTTGGCTCCTGCTCCCATAGCCTCTGGCATGCAATACCCTTCGTAGTCAGTTCTGATGCACAGTCTGACCACGGTGGACTTACTGAGGGCACTCCAAGTATTGCAGGATCCGAGCCAGCTGCACGCAAGCCTTGCCTCTCCTCCCAATTCCTTCAAAGTCCCCCTCCACACTCCTGAAAGAGAAACAAGTAGCTTGTAAACTCAGCATGAGACTTCACAGCCCCAAAGGCTCAATTCTCCAGAAGACCAAGCCTCGCTCCTTAATCTGAAAATAGCAGCATGCCCTTCCTCCACCTCCAAGAAATAAATGGGCCACCTTATAAAAGGGCTACTCCAAAGGTAGAGACTTAAAAAATCATATTTGGAACTCTCTGGAAGCCAAACACCTTTTCCAGTTTTGTTTTTGGTGGGTTTTTTTTAATCTTTGTGTATCTGTGTATTGACACAACCTGGCAGCTGGATGCTGCTGAGCTGGATGCTACAGGACTGCATGGCTTGGCCAGTTAACTCGGATGCAGGTCCAGGTGAAAAGCTGAAGGAACAGGAATTCATCTTCCGTAAGTATATAGGCATGTCCTGTCCCTCCTCAGCAACATTAAGAGTATAAGAGGACATGACTTCCTGCCGCTTCATCATCCCCATGCTGGGATAAATGATCCTAGTTGCCAGGGCAGTTAAGCCAACATGTTTGGCTAGTGGCAGAGAGGTTCCTGTAATCCTGGCATTTGAGAGAGGTTCAAGCATTTGCTTGAGAACATGTAATTCTTTCCTGGTCTCAGCATAATAAAAGACTTAAGAAACAGAAAGCAGAGAGGAAACACTTTCTGCAGAAGGTGACTCCTCCTTACTTTACATCTTCTCCATGCTCGTCAAACACTATGATCTCGTCCACACAGAAGATGGCACAGGCCCGAGCAATCTGTCCAGCAAGGTAGGTCCGCAGCTCCAGCGACTGGGCATTGTTCAAGATAGAGCCTGGCAAGGCTACACTCAGCGTGTAGTGACGCCCTGGGAAAGAGAGTGTGATCAGAAGAGGGCCACAGCATGACAGCTGTGCGAAAGCATTTTATTTACTACTTTAACTGCAGGTTTGGTGGGGGGAAAAAAACAACCTCTTGATCTTAGATCTTAACCACAGCTTTTCTCTTAATACGAGGTCTCTTGTGCAGTGCTTGCTGCATCATGTTCATGCCAGTTTACGTGTGTGGACTTACCTATATCAAATTTTTGAAGCTGAGCATCACCTGTCCTACTGATATGTAAAACTGACTGACTTTTAACGACCAAGTTCTCCCAGCTCTTTCAACCCAGGCCTCCCCCATCGGGACACAGCGGCATCACCTTTGTCTTCCTTCTGCTCCTCCTGCTTCTCGGCTTGTTTTTCTGCCAGCTCCCGCATCCGCTGCTTCTCTAGTTTCTTCAGTAGCTTCATTTCCTTCCATTTTTTCTTCTCTGCTTTCCCTGGAACGCAGAACAGCATCTCGCCTTAAACCACGAGCCGT